ATTCTCTGCTTTACAAAGACTCCATAGGACAGCACTTACTCAAGAAGAGCGAGCATAGTTTTGCAGAACAGCCCTTCATACTTACTGGGATGATAGTGCTGGGATGAACACTCACCATCCAGTAGGTCACCATTTAACTCTTTAACCATTTAATATTTAAGATTGCCCTTCATAGAAGCATCCGCTTACTTGAATTATATGTCAAAAGACCGTAATTTCCGACAGAGATTGTAGGTCACATTCTCATGGGCAAAACAGTGAAACTATATCTCATAAGACTGTAAAAAATGAAACACTTCAACTGGAAATGATACATGTGCACTGAAATTAAGGCTGGCTTAAAATAAGTGGAAATCTTATTATGTTAACTCTCTTCTAGTGAGAGATTTTCACAGTCCCTTAACTCTCTCTGAGGCCAAGATTCCTCCTGCAGATAGAATTCCTCTTTGAGGAATCCTCACTTTGAGTCCCTCTGCACTTTGAAACAAGATGACTTTCAAAAAGGCCTGAAAAGAAGATTGGGAACAAAGAACAAATAGAGAATGGTAAAGATCTGATTTTGTAGGATTCAGATTCTCAGATCCTGAGATCTCAAGATCACTCAATGAGATGCCTCTGACAGAAAGGATGCTTGTGGCTTCCTTTGGAAGGGAGGAGGCATAGCTATCCATTTGACCCAGAAAATCCACCCAGAGACTAGAAAAGGGAGTTAAGGGGGCAACAAACTAACACTTGCTACTGGCAAAGCTCAACAGCATAGCGTGGAGCTTGCAGAAGAGTTAGGCCAAACAATTTAATCATGTAGTATCTGGACAACATTTGCATAGGGGACAACTTTGGAATTTATCTCCTGTTCTAAAGCCCTTCTTTAATGACAGAAGCCTTGTGAGAAGGTAGGCTATATTAAATACTAGCATCTCTCCCTCTTCAACCCAGACCACCTGATAGACCTTCCTCTGGTTATAGGGCAATGCCCTCTGCATCATTTTCACAAATAAAAGAAAGTTAATCTCTTCAAAAATATATGGAAAATTCAGTTAATATTAGTGTACTTATCTGTGGTTTTGCTTCTAGATATGCAGGACATGTAGGAGGAAAAAGTGAAGCTATTGAGACAATACTCTCTAAAGTTGAGCACCAGGTAAAGAAGATATATGTGAAAAGTCAACTGAGCACCTCCTTAAGATCTGAGAAGTTAAAGACTCACACGACATGCCATCAGGAGAACCAGTTAATCTGTTCAAGCTTTCTAATAACTGATTTTTCCTTTTTTTAAA